GGGGGGGTGAACACATTCAGCGCAGCCAATCACAGAGCAGTAACCACCATTCAACACAGCCAATCAGAGAACAGCATTCATTCGAAATAGCCAATTGTTAGAGGCATTTTTAGAGTGAGAGAGAGAGAGTAATAGAGTGAAAATAAAAGAAAGGGAAAGAGAAATTGAGGATGAATGGAATACAACAACAACAACAACAACAAAACTATCAAGCAGCATCAGACACTCCCCATGAAAATAAGATGAGATAAAAACATACCAAAAAAACCCAACCAAAATCAATCCAAGAAAACAGTGTACAAAAATAGCTGCAATCCTGGGCAATGATCCTTTCCCCCCTTCTGTCTATCTATCTATCCGCACCAAGAAATGAGCCACTCTGTCCATCCTCTCTCTTTCTGTCTGTCCGTACTTCATCTCCTCCTTCACTTTAAAAAAAAAAAAAATTGCATTTATATAGCGCATATCCATGCTAAAGAGCATGCTCTATGCGCTTTACAACCATCAGACCCTCTGAGAACAACTCAGAAACATTCTCGGCTTCTGTAGAAGCATACACTTCTCTCCTCCTCCTCCTCCTCCTTTGCTTCTCTTTTTCTCCTCCCTTTCTTTTCTCCAGACAAATGCCAAATGCCAAATACTAACACACATTCTTGTGGGAACCTCCACAACCACATACTCACTAACTCCCCTCAATCACTCACTCCGTCTATCTTTATCTCTCTCACCCACTCAGTCTATCCGTATCTCTCCCAGCCACCGCAGTGTAGCTGTTGAAAGTCCTTCACCAAGGTCACACACCATTCTACACTCCGCTTTACGACACACACACACCAAAAACCTTACTCCTCATTTTTCGAAATAGAGAGGGAGAGAAAATTGAAGAAAACTTCAGACATATTTTGTTAGCTTATGAAAAGAAAGACAGACAGACATCGTCCTATGCACCTCAGGTTAATATCTAGTAAAGTTTCCATCCCATCCCCGAAAGATATTCGTGGCAAAAATAACTTGACAGACAAAATACTTCCGTTAATGTGTCAGATTTGTAAATGTATCATCTGTAAAATAAGTTTTAGAAATAATTAACTCAAAAGGTATTAGTAGAAAAATGACCAAAGAAAGGAATTTGACATATATCTAGTTTTCATAAAAATTTATTCCGTGAGTGACTTGAGGAACATTACCTCAGCAAAAACAGAATTTGGTGTACAACAACTTCATACATAAAAATCTTGCTTAATTATCCACAAGTCGAAAAAGAACTTGTTTATTTTTATTCACAGTAATACAATTAATGCCAGAGTCGGGTAACATAGGGGCATTAAGGTGGAGTCTCTCACATCACACATAACATATCCCATTCATCTTCTCACATCCCACAACGCGCACGCCCACACACACACATCCCCACACACACACATATACACAAAGGTAGGCCATTTTAGTCTCAACTCAGTATTGACGGTGACAGACAGAATAAAAATTCTCCAAAATTTCATCTCCCAGAGACAAAAAAAACACAAAAAACACATCATGTTCAGAGTAAAAGGGGGTTTGGTTTTTGTGTTTTTTTTATAATAAAAAATTATTTTTTTTCGAAATCCTGCAGCAGGAGCGGAGAGAGCAGTCATCTGTTGTTGTTTGTGCTTCTGTTTCTGTACATGACTTGAGTCAGTTCTCTCTATCCACCAACTCCTTCTTCTCTCTATCCGCCATCAACTCCTTCCTCTTCTATCCACAGTCCGTCACCTCCTCCTCCTTCTCTCTATCCACCGTCACCTCCTTCAACACAGCACGGTTACAAAAAAAAAAAGTGGGGGAACACTAATCCCCAGTAACATTATTTGACGATGAAAAAAAACAAAACAAGAGAGGAGTTGTTATCATGAACATTATTATCATCATTATCATCGTCTTTCTTCATCGAAAGTGTTTGTGTTCACACCATGTCAGCGAGCACGCTCGTCCGTGTTCGTGTACGTAGAAAATAAAAAACGTAACACATTATTCACAATTTATTTCCCTTTTTTTTTTCTTTCCTTCTTGGGCACATGGCTCCGAACAAACGTACGAACGAGGAACTAGCCGTGAGACGCGCGAAGAACTACACGCCAGACGACTCAATCCGGAGGGTCTGCCTAATGGGCAAAGCGGTGGACAGGAAGGGCACCGTCATTTTCTTGTCTCCCTTCTGCGACTTCTGCAGGAACCTGATGGGGAACATGAGCAGGCCAGATAGGACGATGAGACCACCGGCCAGGTACAGGGAGTTGTCTACGGAGCCTGTCACGTCGATCACCTTGCCTGGAAAGACGGAGAGAGAGAGAGTGTGTGAGAGAGAGACGAAAAATGTTAAGATTTTAATTAATGAATTTTTGGTATGAGTTTTACGGAATTCGCAAAACGCGCTAACATTATGTTTGTTTCGATAAGAGAGGCCATAAAAGTGCCAAAAATTTGAGGTGTTGCCAGAGAGTTTTACGGTACTTGCAACACCAAAAGGCCATAAAAGCGCCAAAGATATGAGGTGGTTGTTGTTGTTAGAGAGTAATACAGTAATTGCAACACAATATCGTCGCCATTGTGATAAGATCGGATAACACACATAGGAGGTACGGTGGAAAGATTAGTACAATCACGTCTTGCCATTAGTCCAGGTAAAAAAAGGCAAGACAAACAGAAATGTACTAAATGGACATTTACACAGGGAATATACGCCCTTTTCAACACATTTAAAGAGAAAAAATGGAAAGAAGATTAGTGTCGAGCACAAACACATCTAGCTGTTAGCTAGTGAGTGAGGGAGCGCGTTCTGGGACTTGGGAGGGAGCGCGTTCTGGGACTTGGGAGGGAGCGCGTTCTGGGACTTGGGAGGGAGCGCGTTCTGGGACTTG